AACGCAGGTTGGAAGCACACTGTAGGGGCTAATAGTGAGTAATTTAACTGTGGCTCTCTCACACGTTTTACCCTCATTCTTTCTCCAGAGTAGCAGCAGCAGCGGAACAGTATGTATGAACTGTATTGTTGCTCCACATTATAAACAGAGCTTGCAAGTTTATGTCTAATCTCACTCTTTCCACTAGGTTGTATTTTTTTTCATGTGGATGTGATGCAATTTCTTCCAGGGACTGCCATAAATTACACAGAGAATCAGGTAATCCTTAAAGAAAAGTTTGGTATGGGAACACTTTCTCTGTTGCCACTCAGGTGTCCCACAGCATGGCTTAGGCCAGTGATCAGATCTGGTTTAATGGCGAGAAAATTAGTAGAAGGGGGTTCTGTATTCAGCTGCTCAAAAGAGCTCTGTGCATGATCAGGTCGCTATTTTTACGTCTTGGGATATATCTGTGCCAAATGTACTTATTCAGCCCCATGGTGACAACATCCACACACTGTCTGGAGGATAAAGAGAAAAGATTGAGTAATTTTCTGGAATAATGATGTATTTGGGAATGGTCACAACAAATCATATCCACAGAAGAAACAAACACAAAGGGGAGCTGCAAATGACAGCATCACAAATGCTCAAGGAAAACTTCAGATTTTGATAGCCTTGATTTTGACCCAGATCCATCCTATATAAATACACATCCCACTAGGAATATAGGCATAGGATGATTTTGCGACTTATGGTAAGGTTTATACAAGGAGAAATATGCTTAAATTTTTTGCAGAAGGTGCAAAGTTAAGGTTAGGGGTGACAACAGCATGGAAACAAACCCAATTTTTCTTTTCACCTCAAGTAGCTTTTCAGCAGTGAAGCACTGCTGACTACTGCTGAAACCGAAGCACCGCTGAAACTACTGTTGAAGTAGGTGTGCAACTCTTTGTCTATAGTATGGTTAGGGTTGGAAAGAACCTCAAAATCATCTAGTTCCAACCCCAGGTGCCCTCAAATCTCTTTTATTTCCTAAATTAATCTGCTGGTCTCAGTGAGACCTACCCCTGGGAGGCAGCAGTCCCTGCGCCCTGCACTGGCCTCTGTGTGTCCCCAGATGGCACCAGGGGCACCTCTTCTTGCCTGGTCCTCTCCTCCCCATTCCTCTGTGCTTGTAGGTAGTAATTGGCTGGTAACTCTGTGTACCTAGCAACCCAGATGTCAGATGCTGTCTCTTGCCCAAAGGGAAGGAGGATGAGGACAGTAAACAAAGACCTTGGTGTCCTCCATTCTGGAGCGCCTGCTGTAAGTTTTACTCTCTTCACTTTGAATTATAGTGGCAGTGCTTTGAGCAAATACATCTGAAGTACTTCAGCAACATCACACTCTTGTTCCACCACCACTCTGATGACCACCAGTGTAATTCAAAGAGAAAGAGTAAAAACTCACCTCTAGGTATAAAAAAAGAAGAGAGTTTATTCCCTGCCAGAAGAAACAATATGACCAGAATTATGGCAGTTTCTACCCTGAACTGTAAAACTAATGCTTTCTGTTAGCCAATGAATAAAACTGCCCTTTTGCAGGAGAACCATCTTTCACACTTATAATATTATCTTTCCACTAGATGCTGAATATGCTGGTTTATTATGTCTAGAATCTTTTTTTTATGATGTAAAAGGTAACAGCATAAAAGAAATGCATTTCTGGCTGGAAAAGGAGGGAAGGAGAAGAATCCTTCTGTATTTGCATTGCTAATTAGCTGAAAGCACACAGATAATACAGTGATCAGTACTGTACACACGTTTTGAGAGATGAACAAACATTGCACTATATCTGAATATGCAACTGTTCCATTTGTGCAGTTCATGTTGCATCCAGGCTTTTCCACAGGGCTCCACAAAGGACACACTGAAAATCCCCGATGGTGGGCTGGGGGGATGTTGGGGTATGGTTTGTTTACCCTGCAAAGGGCAGTGCAGGGGCACAGCTTGCTTTTCAACGTCATTTTGGTGTTTCTTCACCCCCAAACAAATTTGCCAGCTGGGTTGACTGAGGAAAATGAATTTAGGAGCCTTGTCCAAGGTCACCCTAAGGAATGGGTCAAGCCACTTACTCAAGGGCACTGAGTGCTTCAGTGGCCCAAACTACCTCCCTCTTGCTTCAGGTTGTTTGTACCAACCTCTGCCCCCCTCACCACACAGCCTTCCCCACAGTGTTGAGTTCACAGCAAAGGCAGCAAAGTGCCCCTGACCATCCATCCACTCACTTCATGAGACAAGAATAGTTCCTTAAACCCTTGTTCATGGCAGATGTTTTCCTGGTCTGATAGTTTGTTTTTTTTTTCTAAATGTCAGTGTCTATCCACAAATTATATCTTGATGTATGGACCCATGCGTTGATATATGAATAGCTTTACAAGATGAACACCGCTTGGAAAAACTGAGCTCAAGTTTGAAGGGGGTTGAAGAAGCTGGGATAGTGCAAGACATTACATGGTTTGAAATAAATACTGCCTCATCTCAAAGAGGTCATTTCATTAGGAAAATGCAATAACTCTTGGAAAACACTAGTCACATGTGAGGCTTGACAGAAGCTTGTCTTCTCTGCCCATTCACATATGTGCTCTCAACAACAGCAAATACCTTCATGCTGCCCTCATCTGCAAGTCATAAAATCAACTTCACAGCAATCTCCTTTCTCTCCAATTCTTATAGCTTCCTACCTGAACATAAAGAATTTACATTCAGCAGTATTTTTGGAGAATTTAAGCCAAAACCCCCACTGTTTCTGCCCTCAAAACATCTCCCTTTGCCTGCCAAGTGATACGCTGAGTATCTATCTGTAACAGAGTACCTATTTACAACCCTGCATGTCTACAGAGGTTTGATCTCCAGGCTGACAAGTTCAAACTGTCAGGGACTCCCTCTCTATTCCTCCCTTTCCCTGGCTAAGCTGTGGGGCAGGGTGTTATACTGTAGGTCAAACCAACACAAAATCATTCCCATGCAGGCAAAGCTCTTTCAGTACATGACACCAGCTCTGGTGCCACTCGGGTTTAGCTTGATCTTCCACTGAGCTGACTCTGTTCTTCTGCTCAGCTGGGTTTGCTCGTCAACACGGCAAGAGCTACACACACAGAGGAGAGCTCCCCAGCCCTTGTCTGGATCCATGTATTTGGAAAGTCATATCCCTGAGCATACCACCTCAATCCTCACCTACTGATTTCAGCCAGGTTAGCTAACACATAGGATGGGCAGTAGTATAGTAATATACACAGTATAGTAGTATACATGCAATTAATGCATCTTTAAAAAAGAAAACATGCTATTACAGTCAGGTCCCAGTATGAAAAGACAGTTTCAATATTTTCTTTGATAAAACTATTCTCTAATTCTCATCAGTCTTCTCACCAAGGGTCCCTGTCTGCTGAGGACAACAGAGGACAACTTGGCATCTGAAACCATTTCAAATATAGTCACAAACAAATACTTGTATTAATATTAAACATGCAGCAGTTTCAAGAGCATGTATTTTTTTTGTAGAGGGATCACACTATTCCTTTGAAGAAGCAATAGAGCTTTTGTTTCCAGCTCCTTTTAAACAAGCTGGATATTAACTTTTCTACTACCACAAGCCTCTCTGCAACTTCCAGCAATATTCTCCAGACAGGTGCTGGCATAAAATGTGTCTTACAAAGACCTTGGACCGACAGCTAGGGAGTTTTACCTTGTACATTTTAGCAGCCCAAGTGCTCAAATGCCTACAGACTCTAAGACTGGCTCCCTGGTGCTGAACAGCCCTGTTACTTTATTGATAACACAATGCATAGAAATGTTATATGTTGCTCAGAGAAAGAGTTACGTGCTTTGTGTGAGTGAACGCAAGATGAATGGAGAGCAACCAGCCTGCCCCAGCTCTCTATTTCCCCCCTTGGTGTCTCTGTGACTGCAGCTCTCCCCCTTGTGCAAGTTTCTTCTGGTCCCCATGGGGATGGTGAGACAGTCATTAGCAATTAGCCGAGGGAGGGAGAGGCTAATTGTACCAATTAGCACTGGAGCACCAGGTGGGGAGACATAGAGGCCAGTCAAGAGGGGACCAATAAAATCACTGCCAGGGTCAGCAAGACAGTGCTATCTGGGGGGAGGAAGGAGAGATGTGCCTGCTGATTGCATCTATTTGTGCTTTTTGTTTCCACTTTGAAATAGCCGTTTCAAAGCACTTAAAGAGAAAGGAAGGAACAGTCAAATCTGTGGCTTGAGATGTCCTTACAGGAGCAGCAGGGGAAGCGAGAGCCACTGTACAGCCATCAGCACCAGCCTTGCCATCGTTCCTCACAGCTTGCATTGTTCAGATCAGCCTTATTCTTTCTCAACCCCCCCAAAAGCCTCTGTAGAGAGCCCCAGAACTGCTGCATAGCCACACTTGGCAATGTTCACCCTCATTTCAAGCACTAAAAGGTCCTCACGGGGTCTCGCTCAGAGTATAATACCTTGCCTAACTCAGGTTTTTCTCCCTGTAGCTTAAGGTTCCTACACGGAAACAACTGTAAATGGAGGGCACCTCTATCCCCTCGTGCCCTGGATTCAAACTGTATTACACTGACACGTGCTCAAGTGACAGAGTAACACACCTGACCACAGTAGATCACGTTATAACAAGGCTGTCGCAAAACACTCGTCAACCTCATTTTTGCAACAATCATTTGTCTCCCTGGATTTCATCGCAGTACCTAAATCAGACTCCAGGACATTCTGAAGTGAGGCACACAGCTCCATGCTTCAGGAAGGCAAAGCCTAGCAGAGGCCTTCTCTATGAGCTATTCTTTCACTCCTCTGCATCCATGGTCCGAATTTTTGCTTCAAAAGCACACTGTACCAGTACATGCCAGTACCCCACAGCCCAAAGCAACCATATAGAAAATAAATGATGAAAGCAATGAAGCCAATGAGTCATACAAACTAAAAATACCCATCATGTCACAGCTTAGCTACACAGCTACTTACTAAGACTTCCTGGGTGCTGTTTTATACCATATCCTCTTGCTGAAAGGCAGGACCTGTGAGTTTGTCCTCTGTTCTGCCTATGGGAACTTGAAGGGACACCTCTTATCTTCTGCAGCCCATAGGCTATCCAGAGTGGGGTTGTGCAAAAGACATGTCCGATCCTTTCCACCAAAGCCACTCCACTTCCTAGAAAGGAAGACAAAGTTTGATTTACCAGATGCTGAGACTATGTATGGTGCAGCCTTCTGTTTCTATCACTTACCTAAAGGGTGGACATGTCTTACAGTCCCAGCTCCACTCCAAACTAGTGCTTAACATGAACTGCACTGACAGCCCCTGTGGCAGGAAGCAGAACTGAAGGGTGACACCACTGGGCATCTCCCAAAAGGAAATAGTTAGACTATCCCTTATTTTCCAGCATTTCTCTATTAATAAGTGTTAGTGCTGCCCAAATGTACCACTTGGTGCATGGGGGGCACCAAAAGAAACCTCAGGACTTTGCGCTGGCTGGGTGATGAAGGCATTACCACGGCAAGACACTCACACCTAAACGCTGTGGCTAGTTTTCGCATGAGACTGAGCCTTGTCCCTGCACCCCCAGGCTGGACTCAGGCAGTCTGGGCCACCCTTTCTCATAGAAACCGAAGCCAATCACTCAGCCAAAACCTCACTTTCAGGGGTGGTATAAATCCTTTGAAAACAAACACACAACCCCTCCCTTGAGGCTCAGGAAAGACCAGTGAACCATAAAGACCTGGTGAGATAGTCCAGGGCCAAATTAGCAGCACTGAACAGTAGGTCAACAGTGCAAAACCTTTCAGCGTTTTGCTACCAGTAGCAGAAGAAAGCCAGGGTGCATTTAAACTCCAGCACCTTTCCACAGTTTAATAGTAAATGGCCTATATTGAATAGCTGGCAACACATGCGCTCTCCTTGTTTTCTTCTCTTGTTAAATGTTTCCTGGCATGGTGACAGGTAAAGCATAATACAGCTTGGCAATATGGCTTTTACATGGTGAAACAGCTCCTCTGCGCTACGCTAGAATACATATTACTGTGACAAGGGGCTTTATTCTGAATTATCTGCACATACTAAAAGCCAGTGGGAAATTGAGGGAGAGTTTAGTGAAAACTACATCAGATTTTGTCACCGCTGAGTGGAAAATTTTGGATAGAAATCACAGTGTGGGGTTTAATCACAGCTCCTTCTGGTCAGTGCACTATGGAAAGCAGCCCCTGCCATTAAAGATTCACTTGGGAAAGGTGGATGGTTATCCAGCATTAAACATGTTTCTGTGGCACTGAATTCTTCAGATCGCTTGGGGAAGTAAGTCATCCACTTTTTAACCTGACAGTGCTTGTTGATAAAAACAGTACAGAGAGCTGGATGGAGCACTTATACAAAGCTGATAGATGAGATAGATGGAGAGGATTTATCCTGTGGCAGGGGAGCTGGGTAGGACTAAAGCTGTGCTGACTTGTAAGTATGGAGATGATGAGGTTATACAATTATTTCTTAACAACATCTATGTGAGTGATGGAGAGCAGAACCCCACGTGAGCCTGGCTCTGTGCTGCTCCTCCTTGGAGACAGCCTTCCCCAGAGCCACTGTTGCGCCTCAGAGAGGCATTTTCACTTGGCAGCCCTCTGAAATTTAGGAGCTGTTTTGCATTTCAAATGTATGAGTTATTTTGTATCTGGAAGCTGTTGTTAAGCAAAGGTCTTACTTGCTCTGTGGGCTGAGGATAAAATGCTAAAGACATTCTGACTGCTACAAGTTGTTGTTGAGAGATAGAGTGGAACAAAATGACCAAGAGGAGAACAGAGAAATCTCTAAGCCAGAGGGTTGTTCTGCTTCTCTCTCATAGACTTACTTTCACACCCCACATTTTCTGTGCCCAGCCTATGAGGGGTTTTATGCAATGGACATCACTGGGGGGTTTGATTCCTTTTTTCTTTTTCCCTTGAAGACTGTGTCGATTTAATATCAAAATTATGAGCTCAGCTTCTATTTTCATTTTGGTTTTGAACCGATTTGGAGAAATTCAGGCTTAGGTCACTTTTACCATCCCAGAGGCCTCAGACAGTGATCTGATGGGGAGCTTTTGGACAAGAGAATGGAAGTAACAGACTGAGCAGTGATTAAGGTAAAAAAGAGTCTGTGCTGGTGTATACAATTGTATTAAATGAGAAGACTGGTATCTTTACTATCTCAGTTATCTCAGACATCAAGAATTCTCACAGGAAGACAGAAACTATCTCTCTAGTATCCCTAACCTCAGCATAACTCACACCCTCTGTAGGCCAGAGATGTGGGAAGCACTATCAGAAGTAACACTGAGGAAACAGAATTCAGATGTTACCTAACACTGGCCTTACAGGACATCCACCACACACACAGGGCACCCAGGTAAGATGGATAACCAGAGGAAGGATGACGAAAGGGAAGAAATGTTCTTTGCCATTATTGTTACACGAACTCCCGGAGACTCATGTTAAATGGGGACGTTCCAGAATAAATAAAACCATGTCAGAAACAAGGGGCAATAAGGGACCTGCAGTTACCTTGGCCATTTCTTTCAGATGCTTCTTATGACCTCCAAGTGACTAGTACAGTCCTTACCAGCTGAATCTCAGCCCAGCAGCCTTCATCCCTGCTCCATGCCATAGGATTGTGCACTAATCATATTTTAAAGGCAGGAGATGTATTTCATAAATAGTCTGTCAGCAGAAAAAATATTTCTGAGGCCCTTGATTAATAATGTAGGACATCAGTGATCTTGGAAAACTCGAACATCAGCGCTGTACTTGGCTGAGCAGAACAGATGTTGACATCTTTGTTGCTGTTTCTTGGCTGAAGACAGATGTTTGTGAGGTTAGATGGAAAAGGCAAGAGTACACAGACATACTGGAATCAGTGGAAAACACTTACTGATTCCTTATACTTATGTGGGGACTCAATCTGTATTCTGGGAAGTCTTTTAGATTATAATTGCTGCATGATTAAGTATGTGCCAGTGTCATCTCTTAGGTGCTGAGACAAGGAACACAATCCTGATAGCTGTATGATGATGTCTGAATAGTCCTTGCATGGCAGAGAAAATACAAGTACATTAGGGAAGAGCAATAAATACCATCAACTGCTCTACTGGATTGGATTTTTGAAGGGTGCTCCTGTCTCAGATGTTAATGGAGTGGCTTAATTTTCCTTGCAATGGTCATAATAAACTCAGGGAAATGTAATTCATGGATGAGACAAGATACCTGGTGTTGAAAAAAGCCTGGGTGCTCTTAATGTCTAAAAAACGACTGTTCAGCAGCAGATCAGCTGTGTAAAAATGTGACCTCTCTAATGCTTCCAAGTTCAAAATGATTTGTTGGGTAAGTGTCACTTGAATAAGTTAAAGCTTCACAGTTTACTAAAGGATGTGTTTTGTATTCTGGTCCAAGTATGACTACACCACAAAATGCTTTCCCTGCATCATCTGAAATACCAAATGCAAGGCAAAATTTTGCTTCAGACTTCCACTAAGAGCCAAATTCTCTCTATCCGCAATAATATACAGACTACACAGTAAATCACCCTCCTGAAAACATTCCATCCTGTTCTTTCAGTCCAATGTTTAAAGGCTTCTGTGAGTAAATCTCTGATTTCTTTCAGGAAATAAAATTGCCCTGATCTCACAGAAACTTTCACCTTGAGGAGCCCATAGAGAAAACTATTTTTGGGGGGCTGGAACTGGATGATCTTAAGGTCCTTTCCAACCCTAACTATTCTATAATTCTATGGATGGAGAGGTAAGACTATGTGCCAAGGGTGGTCCTGGGGCAGTGCTGCTCTCAGAGCTGTCCCATCAGCCAGGCCCACCAAGGGAAACATTAAAGCAAGCTCCTTCCTGCAGAAGGCAGACCTGTGTCTGGGGCATGCTCAGGCTTTTCCCCGGTATAGGAAATTTGCTGTGGTCAGTCTTCATCCACCTTTCTTCTTTACCATTTTGCTTCTCAAACTGGGAGCTTTTCTGTCTCTGGCTGCTTCTACAGTAACTAGGAGCTTCCTCTGTTCATGCTGTGGGGGCAGAGGCTTTAACCACGCTGCCATGGTTACATGGACAGGGGAGCACTGACATGATAAAGTAGAGGAGAAAGTGGGGCTAGCAAGAAGGTTGGTAAGGGGAGTGATCATGATTTGCTCTTGAGGTGAAGGATGGCATAAACATAGGAGGAAGCCGAAACAAGTAACTTCATCCATGGCTCTTGCGTTGAGAAACAATCCTGAGCAGAAAACACATCAGTCTCCCCAAATTCCTGTGGCTCCTACACTGAAACCAGTAGGACCATTCTAACAAGGAAGGAGGTTAATAAGCACTGCACTTCCCTGGACCAGCAGATATGAGGCAGAAAGCATCTAGAGGAGCCCAGAGCTGCTCCTAGGCTACTGCCGCAAAAGAATCCCCTTGTCCTGCCATTGCAGATACAGGAGAGGTTTGAACAGGTTCATTGCTGTAGGATTAAGAGTCTTTAAGCACTGATTAGCTGGTATCAAAGTTATTATGGGATTAAGCATGTATTATCCAGCCCATGTGCCATCTGATGCACTTTCAGGAAAAAAAGCACCCCACCAGAGGTGCTGTCTAAATGCCAAGTGTAAGTGACGTTTGTTTTTATGTAGATGTTACTAAATGATTTGGGAAGTAAAACATTAGTAAAATTTAAATGTTATAAATTATTAGGGAGAATTAATATGCAGGGATTTTTTTTTAATTTAAGTAATTTCTATTATTAAATCTTGTGTTTTGCAACTTTGAACCAGTAATTATGTTCTAGATACACAATATAACATAACTAACAAAATATGGTTCATCAGCCTGCATTATATACCATTATCCATCTATGTTTGTGTAACAATTTAATCATTTGATCAAATAATAGCAGATTCCACAATATGTCATTCAAGTATCCCCAGTTTATCTATAATGATTTTCCTCTTGTCAGCTCATTTCTTGAACCTTTGCTGAATCTGGTTTCAATGGTACTATAAACAATCATCATTGCATTGTAAAACTGGAAACTCTCCACTAAAATAGTGTTTTGATCGGGGTTGCCATAGTAATAAGTCTGTGCTTCCCTCTTTGGAGGCCTTGTTATATGAAGTATCTGTGATTTGCTCAGAATGGCCCCAGTTCATCTGTCAAAGTGGGTTTTTCCTTCTTTAAAATAATGATCTAGAAAATCCCACAGTGGCAACAAATATTTTACAACCATAACGAGAAACATTGTATCACTCAAGCTTTGTAAATCTATGCCATTATTGTATTAGAATAAATCACTTTCCTTAGGTATATTACTTAGAAATATGCAATTCTAATTTTAGAGTGTGTATTCAATAGGGGGTATTTATTTTTTATGTAAAGAGAATTATTAACTCTGACTTCAAAAATACATCACATGTCAGGTTATGTTTAGAGGCCCTGCAGCAAAAAGGAAAAAAAAAACCACCCTGAAATTCTTTCTTATTTCTATCAAAATACCACAAATATCCAGTCCGTTTCAGATTTACTTACCCCACTCCATTCTTAAACACTAATTTTTCTAATGAGATCAGGTATTACCACAGACTTTACAACTGCGCTCTCAGATAAATGATATTCAGATGATACACTTGTAAGAATTAGAGCTCCTGAAAATACATCAACGACACTATGGAAATACATCACTGAGCATGATTTTAAATACAACTGCTCCAGTCAGTTACAGTAATTTGATGCATGAACTATGATATTTCCTCCTGCAGGAATGAGGGTAAACAAACACTACATCAACACGCCGGTGACAGACTTGGCGCAAAGAAGCGAGGATGGAGATCGTATTTTATCTAAGACAAATGGTTAACTTGGTTACTTTATGTAAGTCACTACCCGCTACAGGATTACTTCGTGTAACTCACTGTCAGCTACTGCCTCATAATGTCTGACAGGGGGTATTAACATCATCAGAAGTGAAGGTATCTATCTGTATTCAATGAATTCTAATTAAAAAGTAATTACTGGATAGTGAGGAATCTGCCAACTCCAGGCCTCTCTTCACACATGTCACCTTAGCTCTATGGCAAACAAGGGGGAAGGTAAGCAGTGGTGCATATGCTTATTTCCTTACATTTTGCTGGTGACTTAGTTCTAAGCAGGGCCAGATCACGGGAAGTCTTCGGAAATAGTTTTATATCATTTTGCCAAGTGGATCCCCAGAAGACTCTGTGGGGGCAGAGGTGCTACACATCTTCTGTTATAATTGACCTGGGCTTTGAGATTTCTCTGTCATGATGTATCCCAGAATGGTGCACGATGGGAAGAAACTTGTTATTCCTCCAGCAGTGCCAAATGGACAAGATCAAGTAGGCCTGGGACTTGAAAAAAAGGAAGAAATATTGACAGATAAGTAACCAGCCCAGTAAATGACAGGCAGGCACAGGAAGCTTGATTTCCTTGGGGCTCAGAGGTAATCTATTAACCTTAAAACATTTCAGTGCAAATCTAGTAGATCTTGTTTTTTAAATGCAAAAATATAAGATGCTTTATTGAAATCATTAGGTCTGTCTTGATTTCTTTCTCTCCTTGCAAGTTAGCAGTGGGAGAACAGAAACTCACCCGTGACTAAAAGAGCTAGAAATACACTAAACTCACCCAAAATATTTATTCATTGGATTATGAAAATTGTATCTGTAATGCAGTTCAAGAATATTAAAGATGTCCTCTGAGAAGCTGTCCTTTTTTATGGCATTGTGACTGGCATTAAAACACTTGTTTTGCAGTTCTTTGCATGGCAGCTCATCAAAAGTCAGGGAAATGCTAGAACAAATCCACGTCAATAAGGTGGGCTGGGCTAATTAAGAGCAGCAAGTGCCCCTTGAGACTACTGTCTCATTTAGTGATCTCAGTGCCAGCCCAGTCAGTGCTGATGTAGTGCTCTGGAGCTCAGGAGGAGTGGGGCTCTCCTGGGTGCTGTGTACACAAGTGCTGACACATCCTAGACCCAGGATGAAGTGCTAGCTTTCCATACCAGTGCAGTCCAGAGAGTAAGGAATAGAATTTCTCTGGATTTAGGCTCCATCTGAGAAGATTTCTGTAATTTCTACTTTGAGATGTTCTTTCTCTGCTGTTTGCAGCTAGGAGTTTCCTTCCACTGAGAGGTATCCTCTTGGCCAGAAGCAGCTTTGCTGCCTTACCCAAAATTCTGTTGACATTTGGCTGAGACCCCCAATGGTTAAAAAAAGATCATTACTGCTCTCACCTGATCTCCCACTGCTGAATTCTTCTATCCTACAGGGCTCTCCAGGTCAGCCATATCCATGCTTCTGGCACAGCAGCAGCAATATTGTATGTTGCCCCAGGCCCCACTAAAGAGATTGCTGGAACAGAGAGAAAAGTGGAATGAAGAGGCCAAATTCCCTCCACCTTGCCACTCTCTAGGCAGATTCTATTCCTGCTACAACCCATTCATATCCTCTGCTGCAGGACCAGCATGAGGAAAAATCTTCAAAACAATGGAACACAAAAGGAACAAGGAGATGAATCCCCTCAACCCCGCCATGCAGTCCACCTCCAGTTATTCTTAATCGACATCTTCCTCGCTACACTTTAAACTGATGATGCTTTTGTCTGCCTACCCTTGAGAACAGATTATTTATATGAATTGAACATACAGCACAGATTATTCCCTCTTTCCTTGCCATAGTATTTTCATATTTGTTGAAGTCAGTTACACCCTCCTCAGTCTCTTTTTCTCCAGGTTAAATTATGCCACTCACTCAATCTTCCCTAGTAGATTATGTTTTCCAGACCAATGGCTGCTTCTGTTGTTATCCTCTGGAGGGTTTCTAATTGATCAGCTTCTTCTGGAGATTTGCTTCTTATTCTGCTGTCACAACAACCCAAATAAGGTAACGGTCCTGGAAATGACGAAAGAGAGGGGTTTACTGTTCCCTGAGGTTGGCAGAGGCTCACAGCAAAGATGACACAGGTTTGGTCCCACAGATCCATATTACCAAGCATCGGGTTTAATTCTGGAAACATCACTACCCTCTGGCAAGACCCCAAGACATATGCTTACCATGAAGTGCAGGAGTAATTCATGGAAGTTAAGGAGATGTTTAGATTTCACCTTATATCTGAATCTTTACCAGAACAGGCACTACCTACAATATATTCAAAACAACATTCAATTAATCCCCCAAATATTGCTTAATATTTTCAATAATTTAAAGTTTTAACCTTTCTTCTTAGTTCTACTTATATTTTAATATAATTAAGTTATATCCTTTTTTGATATTTTCTCTGGTTAAGTTACATGACACCTAATTCTCATGTATACCAGGACTGCTTTTGGTTTGCTCTTGATAAGTAATAGTATGCAAACTAGAGGCAATGAAATATAGTCCCACTTAACTGTCCCTCTACTCTGTCAGAGTGATGTAACATAACATTAGTGTAAATGGATGCTGGACCTCAACTTTGTAGATGCACATTGATTTTCCAAGTTTCAGGTCTTAGCATGATCTAAAAGCGGGTGTAATTGAATTTCCATTTTCATAATGCCATAACATACATTTTCATAAAATAGTAATGGAGATTTTTTCAGTGCATAATTTTGTGGCTTTGGGAATATTAGAAGAGGCAATGTGTTGGAACTTAGATTCTGAAATACGCCTTAATACCTACTTGCTAATTATTATCAGGCCATCTGCAATGCTAAGCAGTCATAGCATGAGAGAACTCTCTTGACCCACCCACATTTGTCCGCTACACCTACACTTCCCATCAGCTCAGTATGGACACGGCGTTATTCTCAGTTTTCTCACGCTGTGAGGGGTTAGGTGAGGCAAAGGCTCACACACCAGAGTCTTATTCTACCTCCTAACTACCCACCTAAAGCCTACTAACCGTAACAGTGCAGAACATAATGGGAAAAGTGTATCGACTTGTTTAATTTAAAACCATCTGTGTGAACTATCTTTACAATAACTACTTGTTTCAATAATTTATAACTAGGATGCTATACCTGACAAAATGATTCAGATAACTAGAGCAATGTGCACTTTAAGTTTAAAGTCAAGGTCTTCCTTGCTCATTTTAATGACTTCTCTTGTGCACAAGATATTAATATTCCTGTGAGCAAACACAGCACTGACTCATTAATCAATAAGAGCTGGCTCCTCTACATAATAACAATAGCCCTACTGGATAATTAACTTTTGTTCCATTGACTTTAGTTTGTACATAATTTCCAGCGGCTGACACTGGATGATAAAAAGCTTTGCAGCTGACAGGCGCCTTTTAAAATCCTTTTTTACTAGTTTAGGGAAAATGATCCACACCCACTGTTATAAGTAAAATACAGTGTAGGTGTCAGTGTGTGTCCGTGCTGTATTTAAAAGCAGGCAACTGACAATAAATAGAAGACCTAATGAATATTGTAAGGCTTTGGTGAGTCCTGCTGTTAAATTGTAGCATTGTGAAGGATTTGCATTTTCCTGTCATGTAGTTATAAGGCAGACTAGAGATAAAGATATGTCTGTGATTAAATGGGTATTCTAGATAAGTGGCAGATTTCCTCAGTCTGGACTGGGGTAAGAAACACAGATGTGTCTGCACATCTCAAACTGGTTTTAATATTAGGGCAAGTCCAGCAAAGGTGGCAACACCAGAACCCCTACTGTTAGTTCTGAGGTTCAGTATTGTCTGTGCTAGGACACAAAAGCAAGGGTGACTTTAATGCAATCATTTCAGTTACTCACGTCACAGACAGCTGCAGTGGCACCTCCCAGGAGCCTATGGGCTATGGCACAGGGGCAGGAACAGGCAGCAACAGCAGGAGGAAACTCCCAGTGCTCTGCTCACAGAGAGACACCCGGGATGGATGGCTCTTTGCTGAGACCATCACTTCTTTTGCTTCTATCACTAGGCAGTTCTGTTCAATAGAGGTTTGTTACTTATGCCTTCTTCCACTTCTTCCTTAAAAGAAACCCCCAAACCAAACCAAGCAACCAAACACCCAACAGACACCACCAAAATACACAGGGAACCAACTTGGTGTCATCAGCAGAGCACACTGGGGAGGGGAAAATCTACTCCAAGAGGACTTGAAAGCTTCAAAATCTACTTTTCTTCCAAAACAAAAGTAAATTGAGCAAAGGGGGGAAGAAATCTCAAAAATCACTTCAAATGATTTCTTTCGGCACTTTACATTGTCTTGTCATCTAGAATACAACCCAATTTTAAATAAGCCACACACAAGTATTTTCAAAAGGAAAAATTGAAATACTGTATAATCTATTATTATACTCTATATTTGTATCTATATATCTATATTTATATATACCTATATATATTTATAATCTAATATTATAATCTATTTCTAGTTATGAAATAGAGTATTTCAATTTTTCCTTTTGAAAGACTGTTCCACCGACTTTTCTGCAGTAGATAATTAACTGTAGGTATTAGTTCTGGAATAAACCATACTTATAATCCACTGTAGAATAAGAAAGTTCAGCATTACATACCACAGTTTTTATATATGATGTACTCTATTTTTATGATAGTTTCCTTTGTGATATTGAGTGTCACAGGGGCTGGACATTTGATTGCGTAAATCATTATAGTTCATTGACATTAACTGAGCTGTGATTTGATAATCCCTTAGATCTGATGTTGATAAAGTATCCCCACAAATGTGAGCATAAACCAGTTGTGAAATGTTTCTGCTATCAGTTCCAAAGACTGAGATAGCTACCTCTCTTATTCATACAAAGCACTCCACACAAAGAATGCCTTGATTAAGCCTTAATTCAAAAGCTAAAGTATGTGAAACAAAGAAGCCTCATTCAACCTGTTAGGGGCAAAAGGCAGGCTACTAAGTGAGTGCTTATTTGCATTGCACAGTATGTTCTCCAGCAGGAATAAAATGTACTGCAAGACAATGGCCCGTCAGCTTCTATATAGAAGGGAAAACATTCTTGTGTTCAAAATTGTGGAAATGTCAATATTTCAAAAGGTAGTTTTCCGGTTCATTCAAGCACTGATAAGAAATCATTACACTTTTTAAGAATATTGATGATTTCGGAGGGGAATTTAATGGAGAGAAAGCCTTTTTTTTGCAGTTCATTTGTTTGTGCCTGTATAATGACTCTTCAAGACTCTTTTGCATGTGCCACTGAACAGTTTTCACCAGATGATTTTCATGGTATTTATAAGAAACTTTTCCATCTCACAGAAATTTCCTTTCCATGTCTCCTCAATGAGTACTGTCAAGTTCTAAACAGAGTTCAAGTCAGGAAATACACAAAGAAATCAGTAATTAAATAGCTTATTTTTTCCCCAGGCTTCCCAAGGAGCTGATATAGTAGGTTAGACATCAGGTTTGGAATACGTAGGCCTCTGAACAAAGTGGGTTCACCTCTTTGCCTATCTAGCTGCTAGATCTTGCTTCTTCCTTTATCTGGGCTTTAGGAGCAAGGAAGAAGTGAAATACAACATGTGGAAACCCTGCTAACCCCAGTGTCACAAAGCAATGCAAAGGTTCCACTGTCCTGCCTGGAAGAGACCTGCTTTCAGCCGAGTTGGGTGGCACTCTCTTGGGAAGTTTCTCACACTTAGCAGGCTATGGGGCTATCTAGGGCACGAAGAGGATTGTGGTACAGCTGAAAGCACATGGATAGCTGTGTATGTTGCAGGCACTGCCTGGGCTCTGCAAAACAGTTATTAAAAATGACCTCTGAGGCTAATGCAAACTTCTGTGGCATACAATCAACTATTAAGTCAACGAAATCATTTGTATCAAAGACATTGTGACACTGTCTGAACACAGAAATGGAAAGTAAAAAGACAGCCCAGCATGTACATATGGTCATGGTCTACTGCAGTGAGCGTTACTGCCTGGTTTGCTGAGGCATGCTGGACAAGCTTTAGAGCTTGCTATTTTGGCCAGAATTACAGTGGGGAGAAGAGCTGATGTATGTCTCAGTCAAAACTACAGACCAGAACCAAGGCAAATGCTCTGCAGGTTCGAAGTCAAGAATTACACTCTATGCAAAACTGTTGTGATTACAGCAAGAAGTTTCTACCCCTGTGAATACTATTCCCCATTTTTATTCACCTTGATTCTTGCTGCTGCCCCAGGGCCTGGAAGCAGAATTACAGGGCTCTGCGGAAAGATCCTATTCTCACAACAGTTCCAGCCTCCATTTTGCTGAAGCAACAGATGCAGCTCACTGGGACTCTGACAAAGCAGTCTGGCAAGCACTAGAACTTTTAGTTGCTCATGTGCAGCATTTGGGGGTTTACTCAACACTGGTGAGAAAAGCTGTGCCAGCCTTATAAGCTGGTGTGCACTAGCCCTCTTTGAATGGGATCCTCTTTGGGATGCTCCCAGTTGGATCTGGAAGGCATCACTGAGATCCTGTGCTTCATCCGGCTTCTAGGTGGACTCTAATGCATGCAGATCCCCTGCTGGTGGGGACTTGGCTGCAGAGTCCATGCGGTTTGGTGCCACCTGGGGTAAATATTTAAAGGGGAAGAACACAGCATGAATGTAACATTAGCATTATGTTGTGAATTTGGGGAAAAAAGGATTGTTTACCTCCTCTGTCCCAGAATGCTGTCCATATGAAAAATGGGTTAAATATATCCACTCCTTCTGTTACCAATTCTTCATCTGCTGGGAGGCTCTTCTGCAGGCTCCAGACATCTGCAAAGAGGTAGCACGACAGTGATGTTAGCATGGTGGCAATATGGGTGGGATCCTTTACTTCAAAACTGGGCATTCCGGGGGACACAAAGTGACATGGACACGTATCGCCTACGACTGCCTGTGCAACAGCTTGGAAGTGACCATTCCCTACCCCTAAGTGACCCACTATTTTATTATTGATACCTTAAAACATGTACAAAGTTCAAGTAGAATATGCTGAAACCAAGAAAAGCAGGCACATGTAAATTTTATTCTGACTAGTTCAGTTAATCCCTGCAAAACAGGAGGACTGCAGACATTAATTTTTCATCCAGCCAGCTCTTATTGAACATATAATCACTAGTTACTTAAAATTTAATCTATTTTTAATAGAAAAATTGATACTGGAATATGAAACATGAAGTAACACATCATTGTTCTGCAACAGACTAAGCTTTTAGGGATAGCA